AGCTGGGACTACAGGTGCCTGCCACAATGCCTGGCTATTTTTCTGTTGCAGTTGTCATTGTTGCTTTAGGGGCCTGGGCTGGATTTGAACCCACCAGCCTCGGTGTATGTGGCTGTCACCCTACCCACGGAGCTATGGGAGATGCCACTAAGCTATTTCCATAAGAAACAACCTCCATTTCTGGGGTCAGACATCACTGGGTAAGTCCTGGCTGGAAGGTCTTAGGAATGGCCTACCATCTAAAATTTCAAAGGAGCTAAGTGCCAGCTTACTTCTGAGGGCTACCCAAATTCTCAATAGGGCCAGGGATAACACTTTGTCCCAGACTAAATTGGTGGTTATATTCATTCCTTCATTTTTCATCAAATACTGGGGCCCCTATGATGAATGCTGTTTTCAATTGATCTCTAAAATCCTTGGTATTTCTTGGGTGATTTTGGTAACAAAGTCCCTCCATAATCACTTTGTAGAGTTGATGGAAGTCCAAACCTAGGAATAATTTCCTTTAGAGGCCCTTGGTGACTTCTGATGGGTGTTCAGTCCTGGTGGGGTGAATGTTAACCCACCCTGGTGTGTGGTTGCCAGAGTGTACTCAGCCTCCTGTTGTCCACATTCTGCAAAGCTATTTCCATCTGTGATGAATTCCTCATCTGTGTCTGATGAGGACTGATTAGTCAAATCTGACAGCTACAATGTACTTGGTTAATAATTTGAATGGAATCATGACCCGGGGAGAGGGATTCCCTAGATAGCAAAGTGTCAGGATTCAGGTGAACATGGTTACATTAGGATTATCTTGCAGAGCAGCCTGATACTCCCCAACCAGCCAACCTTTAACCCCCAACCCCTTCTCTTCTAGCAGAGGTAACACATCATGTGCACTGGGAACAGTTACCAGCTGCCCAGCACAAACTTTTCAGCTTCTTGTAAAATATCACAAGTAGCCACAGCTCTTCTCAAACAGGTGGGCCATTCTATTGCTACTACATCTAATTATTTAGAGAAATAGGCCATAAGTTACCTATGAGCCCCAGAAGTCTGGGTTAACAGCTCCATCCTAACCCTTTGTCTTTCTTGGAAGAATAAATTAAAAGACTTGGGCAGATCCAGGAGGCCCAGGGCAGGGGCAGTCATAAGTTTTTCTTTAATAGCAAAACCCAAAAAAGCAAAGCAAAATAAAATAAAACAAACAAACCCATTTTGACTTTCTCCGGTCCAAGTAATGGCCTGTTTTCTCACTCTCTTTTTAAAAAATATTATCATTATTTAAATTTTTAACCAGAATTTCTCTCCAAAGATGCCTAGAGAGTTTTTTTGTTTAAAGAGACAGAGTCTTACTTTATCGCCCTCAGTAGAGTGCTCTGGCGTTACAGCTCACAGCAACCCCCAACTCTGGGCTTAGGTGATTCTCTTGCCTCAGCCTCCCTAGTAGCTGGGACTACAGGTGCCTGCCACAACGCCCAGCTATTTTTTGATGCAGTTTGGCTGAGACTGGGTTTAGAACCATCCACCCTCGGTGTATGGTGCCGGCGCCCCACCCACTGAGCCATAGGCGCCACTGCCAGGGAAAGACACGTCAACAGTACTTAAATCCTTACACTCTTTAAATTCTTCTATCTGAAAACAAAGAGTTCTTGTCATTCAGGGGCAAGGACAATGCAAATGAGGGGTAGTTTTTAAGTCTACCACTGAAAACATGTGGGATTTGGGAGTGCAGGTTTCTTGAGCCTAGTTGACCTGGTTTGATAACTTGGCAAAACTAGAACGTTCCACTAAGGCAGGGTACGAATCCAGGCAAACCTGGGTGGAAACCGAAGTAAAAGTGCAGCAGCACCGGCAATATAAAATAGAAAGAAAAGTAACTGCACAGGCTTCAGCAAAACACAGAAATTTCATTTGAGAGCAAAGAGAAAGCTCAGAGCACTGCCAAAGAGAGTCGGAAGTGGGCCCCTCCCACGAGGAAGAAGACAGACGAGCACAAGGGCAGTGTGGAGGTGTCAAAACTCTCGTCCTCTCAGCTTGTTGTTTGACCTCTGCACCTCAAGGCATCACTGTCCTTTTCTGTAGGTCACTGATTACCTAGGTTACTTCCTACCCCCATACTTTTCCCTCTTTGGGATGAGAGCTGCCCGCTGGTGGTCTCACTGCTGAATGTTCCTATGGGCCTCCAGACTTCCTTACTCAGCAGGCCAGGCTTTCCTCCCAGCCCCCTTGAAGCCCTTTTGTCCCTTCTCAGAATCCAAGTAACGTTGCCAAAGGGAGTAGTGAAAAC